GCTCCACCACAGAATTTATACAACCAATAGCTCAAAATCAGCAGATACGCCATAAAATCTAAGACCTAACCACAAGAACTTGTTCTTCTCAACAAAAAGGATAAATATAGAGAAAAGGGGCGAGACCAAAAAACAGTTTACACATAAACAAACCAAAAGCAATCCTTTTTTTTCCTATTTGAACAGTATAATTTTAACCCCCTTTCTTCAACCTAGCTCCGCCACTGAATTTATACAACCAATAGCTCAAACTCAGCAGATACACTATAAAAATCATATATTTCAAATACAAGAACATTCCAAGACCAAATCACAAGAACTTATTCAATAAACAGAGAGAAAAAGGGAATACCTGAACAGTGATAAACTGACTTGAAGATATTTCACAGCTTGTGACCTTGTAATATATCTTGCAGCATTTCCTTCTTTTTTCTTCCCCTGTAAAACAACATACAAAAATTATATCCAAATTGAAAGAAAAAAAAAAGGCGAAACTTAACTAATTAAGCAAAAGGTAGAAACTCACAGCAGGCCGATAATGCTTCGGCATGGCTGCTGACTATGGAGTCGAACAGGCTGGGGAGTGTGGCGGCAAAGGGATTTTTTAGGGCTGCTGAAGAATTGGGGTTTTAATAGGAGTTTGGAGATTTTTTACCCAATATGTCCCTTTTTTTAAGAGATATTAACATTAATAACTTAACTTTTCATTTATTTCAAAAAAAAAAGGGACAAACGACAAATATATACAAGTTCTTAATGTCTCAACATCTTACACTTGTACTTTCCATCTTAAAACTCTAATTTATGCTACTATTTGTCTAATATTTTCTCTAATTTTTTGATATGTTATTTGACTTGACATAGTTTGAAAAAAAAAAAGAGTAGATTTCTTTAAAAGTTGTGATCCAAATTTGATATTAATTTTTAAATATCAATTTTATTTTTATTACTTCTTAAAAATCATGAAATTAAATAATTATAAAATTCATTTGAAATTTACTGTCTCGTTGGTTTTTAAAAGTACACAATTATAAAATATATACGCAGATCAAATTCCTTTTTTTTTTTTTTATTTATCATGGTAGGATATAGCTTTACCAGGCCGGCCACTAGACCATTGATGCTAATTGGTTACTTATTATTTTTAGGGAAAAATGAGAAATATATTTCTGAACTATCGTAAATGGTATGCAGATACCCTCCGTCATATTTTTGGGACATTGATGCCCATGCCATAAAAAAACTAGAGCATATATACCCTCCACTCTAAAGGAAGACTAAATAGGGATACATAGTGCAATCTAATCCATTGGATCGGCGGATAAGATTATGACACGTGTGTGTATGTTAGTATAAAGGGTATATATGCTCTAGTTTTTGGACGGCAGGGGCACCAATGTCCCAAAAATATGACGGAGGGTATCTGCATACCATTTACAATAGTTTGAGAATATATTTATCCTTTTTCCTATAAAAAAAATGACAGGTTACGATTGAATTAGTTATTTTAGTACTACTATTTCTTAGTGAATATTTAATTCATTGTATAAAATAAAATATCTTGCATAATTTCTAAGAATAAGTTATTTGTTTACGATAAAATATTCTCTATAGATGTAAAATATGTGAAAGTGACTATAAAAAGGATTTGAGGGATATTTTTGTTATTTTAACTATTTCATCTCGGAATAAGTTATCTCATAATTGTTGTTCCACCTAGAGGAAAGGATAACTTATCAAGTACTCCCTCTGTCCCTAATTACTTGTCCACTTTTGAATTGACACACTTATTAAGAAAACAATAATTGACATAATGAGTTTACCATTTTGCCCCTAATAATTATGAAGTGGGTGAATTATAAATTTAAGATTTTCAAGAAGTTCTACCTTTTTCAAAATAATTAATTAAGGGTATAATAGGTAAAAAGAATTATCCTTTCTTGATTTGTCACAATTGATAAGTAATTAAGGACAACTAAAAAAGAAAAAACGGACAAGTAATTAGGGATAGAGGGAGTACAAATCTTGGGTTAAGCAGTCTCAAACAATCAAACAAGAAATTAAGAGATATCAAAAATTTATCTTTCTACTTCCTCAAAAGGTGATTAAACTGATTGAGGCAGCTTGCAGACCCTATTTATGGACAGGTGAAGCTAGAAGGGCTATGGTAACTTGGGAGAAGATTTGTTTACCAAAAGGAGTTGGAGGTCTGAACTTCATCAACTTAAAAGTATGGAATCACGCCGTTGTATGTACGTTAATGTGGGCTCAGAGTAAGAGCAAGGAGAAAATGTGGATTACCTAGATTCATGCTTACTACATAAAACATCAAAATTATCTCACAATGGAGGTTCCCAAACAGGCTTAGATCTTCAATATGAGAAAATACTAGACCCTGCTTACAAATCATAATCAATTGATTAGAAGTGATAAGTTTATGATAACAACAACAAAATCAGCTCAGCACATAAGGTTCTTCTAAAAGCTTGCTTTGCAGTAGTGGTTTATGAGATTTGGTGTGAGAGAAATGACAGGATATTCCAGCAAGTTACCACAACAAAAGAGGCATTGCTTTATACTATAAAGATAAACATGTGTATGAGTGAGGGGCAATATGAGTCTTTATGAAACTATATGTTCGTTATAGGATTTATGTGTTTAAAGTTTCTTAGGTTACTATAAGGATATTATGAGGAGCAACCAGGGTAATGGTTAGCTCGGTTTTGAATATATTACTTGGTAATTAATAAAATAATCTGTTAATTGCCATTTTTTTTATCTCAGATATCTTTCTTTATCCATCATACCAAATGGGTCCTTAGTATTATTACTTTTGTTCCATTTCCCTCTCATCCCATAAATTAAACCCTTACATTAGGGGTATTCGTGATTTAATTAAAAATCAATTAAATAAATTAATATTTCTACATAATTATCGTTGAATATAACCCCCCCAAAAAAACACAAAAATGATCCCTTACATTTAAGTTATTGTTTAAAATAGTTTCTTAAATATATACTTCGCAATTTCCTTTTTAGATTTTTAAGTTGGTCAGAAATTAAAACTTTTAGTTTTTTTTTTAATCCTTCTTTAGGATCCTTCATTCTTTTTACTCTCTCTTAGTGACTCAAACTCATAACTTTAGAGCTAGAGATAGAGGGTGCTTAACATATGAGCAATTCCTTCTGTTAATATTTTTAGTCTCTGTCAAAACTTTAACATTTTTTGTTCGTTAGGTTTGATGAAAACATTGGACAAAAAAATTAATCATAAGCACTAGAAATGTTTCATCAAATTCTAAAATATGCAACACAAAAAATTGCATTAGACGCTAAAAATATATTTAAAAGTATAAATTATACATCAAAAAAGTTGCACCAATCTCTAAAAATAAATTAAATTTTTTCACTTTAATCTTTAATGATAAATGACTATCACTTTTTATTATTTGAAAAAATTTAAATTTACTAGGCTTAATCGGTTGACAACATTTAAGTATTGTTCCATTGTGTTTACCTTGTAAACTAATGTTGTTCTTGTTTAAAAGCATATAAAATATAATTCTATTAAGCGTAAATTAATATAAATAAGTATTAATGTATTATAGACTATCAACCAGAGTTGTAATATTTGTTGCTAGAAATTAATCAAGCGAGAAAAAGTAACATAGCGAATTTTAAAAAATTGAAATGATAATGATCTACATAAGGTAAAATCTTAAAATATGGACTTGTTTTTTGATTATAAGCTTAAACCATGTAATATAAAGTGTAAAAATCTCAAGAAAATAAATGACAAGATCAAGTGCATCACTTTAATAATAATGTTGGGTCAATGAGATTAATAAATTTATTCAAGCAAACTTTAGTAATGCTACTTTGAGAGATTGGAAAGAATTCTGGAGATTGAGAGTTGGGATTTTACCAAAATATATAAGTAGTTGTTATAAATATATAATATGCACATATATAAAAATATGTCACATATATAGTAGTATATATTAGGTATAATATGTATATATACATATAACACATATTATGTCACATGTATATTGATTATACTAGATTTTGTTGAAATTTTTCATTTGGGTTGTTGTTCATCTTATGTGGACTAATTCAGTTCGATTAGGAGAGATATAATTAAGATGTTAAAAACTTGCAGAGTAATTACCTAACACTTTATAACTTCCATAGGGGTAGTCTAGTAGAGTGTATTGAAGAAAATAATGCATGTATTGACTTCGTGTATTATTAGTATCTTGTTTGGTACACTTTTTCAATTAATGTATAACTAATGTTTGTATTTGTAACACACTCTATTGTGTGTTGAGGGGTGTATTGCTAATATCATTGATTTCTATGCATTAGTAATGCAATGGGTTCTAATGCATTAGCATAGTTAGAGATACAATTATCCTTCATAAACCTTCCACATCCTTTCCACTATATTTGTGGAGTATATTTTTAAAAACAAATGTTTTTTTTAAATTTTTTTTATGCAATGCATGATTATTTAGTACATCAAATCAAACACTGTATAAGAAAAGTTTTAACATAATTAATGCAAGCATACCTAATTCAATCATTACTAATACGATATATTTTGCATTATTTTTATACACTCTACCAAATGAATACGAAAAGTGGAGGAATCAATTATTCCTAAGAAATAACTTTTTTTCTCATCTTTAAAAACAGGGTAATGAAGCTTGCTCCTTGGCATAGAGAATGATTTAAGGGGTCTTTGATGTGAGGGATAAAAAAATAGTGATGGGATAAGAAATAATGATGGGATAAAATTGTTGTATGTTGTTTGGTTGCCATGTTTGGGATAACTTATTCCACCATTTATATCATAGTGATGAGATAAGTTATCTCATATACATGGTAGGATAAATTATCCCTAACACCAGGATAACTAATTCTGGGATAACTTGTTCCCAACCAAACCATCCCTAACAATATCATAATACTCAAGAATCAAGATATCTGCTCAAATTCGTACTTGTCCATAAACTTGTCATAATTTGACTTCAATTTTTCTTTCTTTGGCAACACTCAACCAAAGAAGATTTTTCAACAAAATAGTGAAAAGATTGAAACTTTAACAATATAATCATCTACATACAGTTTCTTCTCATCTTCATACTTACCTCTGAAGAAAAAAAAATGGAAAAGCTTTCAAGTGAAACTGTGATTGACATACTTTCAAGATTACCCATCAAATCCCTTGTAAAGTGCAGGTGTGTTTGTAAATCTTGGTTCTATTTGACATATGAATTGCATCTGATTGATACCCATCTCTCAATTTCATCTAAAAATGAAATCTTTTATGGTCTCATCCTCAAAACCTCAATTCCCATTCACAGAACTTGTTGGCACAGTAAGTCATCTTTTGTACAGAGTGATGGAACTGATGATTATAAGTGTGTTAACTTTAATTTCCCATTACCCCTTTTGAGTAATTATGAAATTTTGGGTTCTTGTAATGGATTACTATGTTTGTTTGATCCAATTGTTAAGTATTTGACTCATATACTAAATCCATGTAGTGGGGATTTTGTTTTCTTGCCTGACCCTATTAGGGATTTGGGGGATCCTGTGAATGTTGTTGTGGGGTTTGGGTTTTACCTAAGAGGAATGTGTATAAGGTGGTGGAGATTATGTATTATAGAAGGGCAATTGTGGGTGATGATAATGATGATTTGAGGTCTGGTGTTTGTGTATATACTATTGGGGATGATTCATGGAGATGTATCGGTTCATCTACTTATTCACTTCACGGTAGGGATTTGTCCGGGGCATGTGTGAATGAAGCTCTTCATTGGGTTAGTTCTGGCTATGATGGTCCTAAACTTATTGATCAAATTGTTGGTTTTGATTTGGAAAATGAGGTGTTTGGAGTCATTCCTCATCCGGATTTTGATTCGGGAAGACTCAACTATACGTTGGGTGTTTTGCAAGATTGTCTATCGGCTACTAGACATAAGTGTCAAGATTATGTAGAGATTTGGGTAATGAAGGATTATGGTGTCAAGGAGACGTGGACAAAGCGTTTGAAAATAGTTTGTAGTGAAGTTGGGCTTATCATTGGAGCTGTCCAGCCTCTTTTCTTTCAGAGAAATGGAGAGTTGATGCTGCAGCATGGTGGAACTTTGCTTTGTTACAATCCTCTGACCAAAACACTACGTGAACTTTGTATTTCTGGAATGCCACGGTCTTTCAAGGCGGTTGTTCATGTTGGCTCTCTTGTTTCACCCCAAAAGTTATTAAAACTAGAGAATACTGAATTTGCTTGATTTGGCTTAAACATGATGGAGATCGGTTTCAAGCATTTGACCGGAGTAAAGTGGTTGTTCTCGTGTATAAGACGAATTCTATACACGTAGTAGCTAGCACTGTCCAGCCAAGCCATTACATGGAGCTTTCTTTAGAGGACTCAAATAACGATCAACGTACACCGGTAGGAAGAGGACCATGAGATAAAAACAGTATGGCCCTGTGGTTTGGGTTTGAGACTTCCATGTTGGAGGTCTCAAGTTCGAAACCCCTTGCCAGCGAAAGCAAGGGGTTTGCCTTCTGGGTCGAGCTCTTTGCACCAGGCTTGCCTAGAGCGGGTTAGCTCTCCTATGTGGTTTGCGAGCTATTGTATAGGAGCGGGGGTTTTACCCTGTGCGCACCCAAAAGATAGCGGCTACGGGTTTCCTTTGTCATAAACAAAAAAGTACTCATCAAAGGTTTTTTGTTTTTATGAGTTTCAAAGTACCATCGATCACTATGATCTCTTTCATCTCTAAGAATTTGCATTTGGTTTTTTTCTCCCACGCCTTCTATTGGTCAACAACCAACCAAAGTACTCTATACTTCTTCAGTACTCATACAAGCTTGACGGAGTTGGACTATGTCGATTTTTTTGCTAATGATTTTATCAGCAAGCTAAGGTAGTAACTGAAGTTTCTTTGATAAAAATAAAACTAGCTATCTGCTGGCACCCAAGGTTTTCTATATTTAAAATTTGATAAATTAAGTTATATACTAATTTCTAGTAGCACAACTAAAAACACTATGGAAAAGGGTCAAAATTACCCTCGAACTATTCGAAATAGCTCATATATATCTTTTAATTATGTTTGGGATCAAAATTACTCTTGACGTCTATGTTTTGGACCACAAATATCCTTAAAATGATATCTTTGTCGTTAGAGCTAACATGATAGTCCATCCAAGCAGTCCAACATGACAAAAATACCTTCCTCTCAATAATATTATTCTTCCTTGTTCATCCCTCGAGGTGGTAGTCCAGCACACAACTACTATCTCAATACATAAGGTGACATAACAATCCACCTAGGCAGTCCAATATGACAATCACATATGGACAAAATGAGCATTAACATATAAAACGTTATCTTATATATTGTTTTTACTAACACTTATACTGAGGGTGTATTTGGTATGGAGGAAAATATTTTTCAATTTTCCCATGTTTGGTTGACTTAAAATGTTTGAAAAATGTTTTTCAAATCAACTCATTTTCCTCAAATTTAAGGAAAATAACTTCCTTCCAAATTTAAGGAAAACATTTTCCAAAACTCTACTTCATTCTTTAATAATTTTTTCTTACTCTACCCTACCCATATCCCGTACCCTCCCCTCCCCATACCTCGTACCCGACCCTCCTCATTCAAAACAAAAATTAAAATTCCCTACCCCCAAAAAATATTTAAAATTTAATTTTATTTAATTTTTACGCCACACCCCCCCCCCAAACAAGGCCACCCTCTCTCCCGCCGCCCCGTCAATTTTGTTTAGAAAAACAAATTATTTTTGGGAAGTATTTCAAATCGTCACTCCCCCAAATTTTAAACAATTTCATTTTAAGAAAAAATGTTTTTTAAAAAATATTTCGAATTTAAAAAAAATTCATTTTTTCTGCCAACCCCAACCCGAGCGACCCTGTCAATTTTTATTTTTTTAAAAAAAATTTGAACTTGGGTCAGGTTTAAGGGTCGGATTTTGGAACGGTCATCAAGTCTTGTCCTAGTTTGGGTGTCGGGGTCGGGTCCTAAATCAATTATCGGGGTTGATTTTCGGATCATTGATTATTTTCCTAAAGAATATTTTTTAGTCTCAAGCCAAAAATAAAAGATATTTTCTAAAAAATATTTTCCATTCACCAACCAAACATTAAAAAATATTTTTGAGAAAATATTTTCTACTCACTAACCAAACACAAGAAAATAAGTTAGAAATTCACTTGTTTTCCAAGAAAACATTTTCCTTCATACCAAACACACCCTAAGTGTCTTTACACCTACCTAGAGTTACTTTTCAAGGAAGCTACTCGAATGGAGTTCGGATTATTTTTTTCATTATTGTGTATATTAGATGTTAGGCAAACCTTAGGTCGTTTCTTATATTATTGTTTTATTTTATTGTTTGTATATATCACACGTTTATTACACTTATATATTGTTTTTATCTCCTCCTCAATGTGAAAAAAATGAATTCAGTTGGGACCCACAATTGTAGATTTCGAAGGATGCCTAATACCTTCCATTCGAAATAACTTGAACGCCATACCTAGAATCTACTAGTTTCATAGACACTTTTTATTAATTAATTGATTGATTTCCTAGTTTTCCTAAAATTATGTCACGACCCAGGGGCACCTCTTAGATTAACACGGCGTACTCGACCTCGAAGGGGTCTAATACAAGCCCTTTGCATCATAACATAGGTAATAGAATTGAAAATATGGAACAATTTAAAACTTTTACAATCAAAGTCATATTTCATAAAAGCAACAAGCGGAAGTCTTACTAAAACCTTTGTCTCAAACCATCTATTTAAACTCACGATTAAAAGTCTTTGGGACGCAGCCCATACAAAGTCTTAAAGCATAATGAAATGACATAGAGGTAAAGTGGATGTTGTCCTCGAAGCTATGAGGACTCACCAAGATCTTCAACTCTTTTAGATCCTTGAAACCTAGCCTCCAAAGCAACTCAAATCTCCAAGACCCTGCATTTGGTTAGAATGTAGGCAATATGCGTTAGTACAAAATGTACCAAGTATGAAAGCTAGCACAACAATCATAAGAGCATCTCAAATGGTTAGTCAACATAAGACATAAGCATAAGAGATATAAACATAGTCATAGCATGGTCTCCAACATAAGCATCATATAAACATAAGTCAACATAAGACATAGTTAATGAGCATAGGATATAAGTCATAAACATATCAACATAATTGACCTTTGGTCATCCATACCATAATAGCACCATTTTCAAGTAACTTCAAAGTATACAAGTGCAAGGCAAGAATAGCATCCAATAATACTACCCAAGCCAAGTATCCCTTTTTAGTCATCTTAATCATAGTCTACATGCATGGTTAAGTCATAAGATTTTCTACTATAAGGGCACCATACTTCTAAGGAACCTCAAGACATACTTGTGCAATGCATGAAAGGGATCATATACTATCATTCACTCTAAGCATAGCCTTGAAATCATCTTAGTCATATTCACCCTCCTTTTGGTCTTACTATAAGCTTACTTCATATAGACAAGAGAACTACCACCTTAGTCAATCATATCTTGGAAGGCAACTATGGCAACAACCCAAGCTAAGTCATACTACATAAGAGAACCTTTCACAACTATCCCTAATTCATACTTGTGCCATGTATGGATAGCATCCCATACTACTACCCACACTAAGTATTTCTTTAGACTATCATGAATGTTCACTAGTTGGGGACTAATCCCTCTACTCTATTGCCTTTTCAAGGCTACTAAGGAATAACCCCCTAATAGGCTAGACCATGCTATCATCTTACTAACATAGCTAGGTTAAGCTAAGCTAACTACCTTGGAAGACAAACTAACATGTAAGTCCAAGCTACTCTAGGAAATGTACGAGTGTCCTATCCTAGCTACCATGACATAGTCCTAAACCAACTAAGTCATGCTACCCTTACAAGTGTACTAGGTTACAAATGCAAGCTATCCATAGGGGAGTATGATTCTCAACCCTAAGTTATCCTTAGGAGAGTATGAGTCCTCAATCCCAAGCTACCTTGACTAACCTAACTCAAGCTATCCTTGAAATGCACCTTACAATGCAAGTTAAGCTACCTTTAGGAAAGTATGAATCCTCAATCCTAAGCTACCTTTAGGAGAGTATAAGTCTTCTATCCCAAAACTATCATGAAATAGTCTTGGCCAAACTAAGTCAAGCTACCATGAATGCATCCTAACAATGCTAGTTCAAGCTACCAATAAGAGAGTATAAATCCTCAATCCTAGGCTACCATGAATGCATCCTAACAATGCTAGTTCAAGCTACCCATAAGAGAGTATAAATCTTCAATCCTAGGTTACCATGACTACTACTAACTCATGCTACCATGACATGCATTCTACAATGCTAGGTCAAGCTATCCCTTAAGAGAGTATAAATCCTCCATCCCAAGCTATCAACCTTGGTCTTATCCTACTAAGCCAAGTTATACATGAAGGAAACACAAGCCTCAACTTCAAGCTATCCTATCTTGGTTTTGTCTTGCCAAGTCAAGCTACACATGAAGGGATCATATATCACAACTTCAAGCTATTCTAGTCTAACATGATTTGATTCACTTTAGGTTCTTAAGTCAACCTAGAATCCTTCTATGTAAGAGAACTTGATTCTCCTAGCTTATTCATGTCTAATTGTATAAGAGAAAGAGAATACTCAATCAAGATCACCTCATATTGACTTTACCCCTAAAGCCCTAATAATGATGTCTACAAGCCTTATTTTTAAGCTTAACTTCATTCTTCCATGATCCATGTCTAAATTACAAGTTATTCAATCACATTGTTCATTAGAAGGTGATTCTAGTCATACTTGATCATAAAGGTTTAATTCTAACTTCACAAGTCAAGATCCCTCCTATTCAATCAAGTCTAGTTCAATTCATTATTAGATGATCCTAACTATCAATTAGTATTCAAGACATTGAAATAGGAAGATCACTTTAGAACCTTCAATTTTGCCTCTAATGGCATAAACCCACAAAGATCATACATTCATCAATTTAGATTAAGGTTCATCGTAGAAATCACATGAATTCATCATAATATCACTAAATAAAGCTAAATCAATCATAATTGGATGTTATCTACCAGATTGGAATCACATCCAAACCCTACCCACAATGCAAACACAACCCTAGCTAGAATGGAGTTTTTGATTTCACAAGTGGGGCAAACTATGGGGGATCCATGGGTGGAAGAACCCATGGAATATTAATATTCACATACCTTCAATAAAATCCCTAAACAAATCTTGAATCAATGGGGAAAATTGCCCTAAGTTGCTGCCCTCTTCTCTTCTTCTTCTTCTATTCTAGAGAGATGATTTTTGGAGAGAGTTTTGGGGTCTTTAGATGAATGAGTTAAAGTGATTAGTTTAGGGTCTATTAACTATTTATGGGAGGTTAATTAACTAACTAATCACCCCTCCTAACCCCTAGACTAATTACTAAACTAACCCCCAACAACTCACTTAAAACTAAATTACCAAAAACTGGCAGC